TTTAGGGTGTTAGGGTTTAGGGTTACTTATAGAAGCCGACCTAATTACCAATACTATTCCAGAGAGGGGCCCCTATTTCAATAATAGCATAGGGGTGCCCGAGACCCTAAGCTTTGAGGGCACCTACATGACAGGCTTCTTGGTTTCCCGGGTGAAGATTGCAGAGCGTGGGTTCGTGCGTACTTGTGGGTTAGGAGGGTTGTGGGGGTTGGAGCTTTGGGGGTGCAGCGTTTCAGGGTTATGGGGTTTAGGGCTATGGGGTTGAAGCTTAGGTTGTGGGTTTATAGACTGCAGGATCCATGGGTGCTGGGCGTACCCCCCTAAAGCCATTCACATCGCACACAGTCAAGTCACTGTCATTCAGACGTTGGCTGATGACTCCTTGCTGTCATACAAGAGCGGCCCACACACCTCAGTGTATGCTAGCATGGAGGCCTGAATAATTCATGATACAGAATGATACTATTCCTCACCCCAAACCCTGTTCTATTTCATAAGGCCGTATACCAGAAACTCACACGGCCGAAAACCTGGTAGAAGGATCCTTTGCTGGAAGCACGGTATATCCAGGGAACCACGATACCCTCTTTTTTTGTATATGACCCCCATACAGAACCGTAGAACAGGGTCTTGCATTGCCTAGTTGTTGCCGTGGTTGCCCGAAACGCCCTGGAGACATAACCCTATAAAATCCTTCCACGACCCCTTGTAGACTCATCAAGCGACCTGATGTGTGAGTGAACTGCACGCACCCTAGCTCCGTAGAGGGTTAGCGGCAGGAGCGGCGACCTGATAAAGCCCTCATGCAGCTTTCCAAGCAAGGGTAAGTTTCAGCTCTAGAAGCTGCATAGCACCCTAAGAGATCCCACATAAAAGCACGATGCAAACCCCAATATCAAACCCTGCAAACCCCATGTTGGATCCAAGCTGAAGCCCTACAAAAGTCATCCCAGGCAAGCCCTTTACATCCGTATGATAGCCACGCAACGCTCTCCGAAAGCCCTATTGCAGTATGAAGAGGTAGCCCAAGAACACAATCAAGCCTGCGATATATGTGGGTGAAAAGTGATAGATCTACATAGTATATATATATATNNACATACATACATATACACATGCACAAAAACAACATACACATGGTGCTCGAATCGCGTGCATCCCAATAAAAGGTCTTGGGCGCCTCGCTGCGGCTCTGGGCGGGTGGCCCGGTGCACGCGTGGCCGAGGACCAGGCGACATCTCGAGTGTCTTTCGCTTTCCATGTTGAGAAAGCTAAACCCTAAATCCTAAGCCCTAGGCCCGAAACCTTAAACCGTCAAAGCGTAGGATTAGGGTTTGGGGTGGGGGTGGAGGGGCGAAAACCCTACAACTTTGTCTCGAAAAGCTGAAGTCCGAGCATAAAGATAGGGAGCTGAGTAACATAGGAATACAAAGGGTTTCTTTAACGGGTTCCAGGAGGATACTTTGGGCTACGCGGCTTGGGGTTGAAATTCGGGTCCATGAAGAAATCGTACGTAGAGTAGTGCATGCATTCGCTCTAGGTTGATTCTTCGGGTTTTCATGCAGACAACGAGTTCCCAAGTTGATGTCAGCTAGTGTTAACCCTGAACCGGCACATGCCTGGCACACCCCAAATGCCCCTAACCCGCATCGCCAGGCCCTACACTGCACGTGCAGTTCACACCCCAAACCCTATAAGCCCCCTGCCCCTCTCCCCGCCTCCCAGAAGAGAAAGCAATGAATATCACCTTAAACCCGGAGCCCCCAAAAGTAATCATAGTCACAAACAACACCTGAATCCACCTTTAAACCCACCCAAATCCTATGCAGCACAGCCTCGTGCAGGTGTGGATCAAGCCGCCTGGAGCTGGACCGTTCCTCGCCATCGGAATTGGGGAGACTGTTTGGGACTTCGCTAGGAGCTTAGGATTCTTATCTGTGTTCTTGTTGCGGAACTTAATTCTTGTTACCAGATATTTAACTACAGATCCCATTATCTAGGTCTCCAGCAGTGCCTTCGTGTGCTTTCTATATTTGCGGTCTGCATACATCACCAGGACTAAAGTTTCGTC